GTTTTTCGTGCAAAAAGTACGCAAAAATGGTTATTTCTGTTGGGCATTGAAGAGAACTCCGACAATAAAACGACAGCTATTGAGTAAGAAGTCAACTTTGCGCTCACAGATAAATTTAGTGAGAAATGCACCCGCATTTTTTTAAAATTTTATTAAGTAAATTTGCATGGGAGATGGTTTATGTAAGACGACATAGTGGATATATATTGGGAAAAATAAATTGAGCACATACCTTGATCTTCGGGGGACTTATTCAGTACCGAAGGCTTGTTTTCAATCGCCTCATTTATAGTCTTCACAACTCCACTGACTGGGGCGTAGAAGTCACTGGCGGCCTTTACCGACTCAATTGTCCCGCACTCACCTATAAGAGAGGTATCAACTAAATAACCGCAACGCACCGTCCTGGGTTACATTGGTGCCGACATCAGGGAGTTGAATGAAAACAATGTCACCAAGTTTATCCACTGCATACTTTGACATCCCAACGGTACCCATTTTGTTGTCTACGGAGACCCACTCGTGCCTTTTGGTGTACTTAATAGCTATAGATACAAGAAATGACTGTAAAATGGAGAAAAAATATACATAGACTACGAAACTGTGGCTTCAACGAAAAAAGAGATGTGTACTACTATAAACAAAATCAAGATTCGGGTCTTAACTTTCGTTGGAAATATGGTTGGAGGAGCCACAGAAATTGATTGCTTTTTGACCCCGATAGCAATTTCCTCGGAGATTTATCCCTGTGCAGCGTGCATGGACAGTCTATTTTCCATACGCTGCCTTGCGGCCGTTAAAACTAGTAGCAACCTCCACTGGCCAGGGCAAGGGCAATGGGGAGTTGCTGCACTAGAGTGAACTAAAAGATTTTTACTAGATTTACTCTACAAAATTGCTATCGGTGGAGTTAAATCAAAAAGCAAACTTAAAAAAATTGCAACGCATAATAATGGAACAGTATTAGCTCACAACTAAGGTGTCTTCTTGCAAGGGAAATCATGGACGAAATCAATTTAAAACCGTTGCCTATTCGATTGAAATAAAACATCAGAAATTCTTCAGTGGAATTAGCCCGTTCACAAATACGCAACCATAAAACCGAGTGCAACACGATAACCGAACAACCCAATTCGACAGAACTGGGGCGTAAGTTTTTCAAGTTTGTCTGCATGTTTTTGTGGACCTTGACATCTAATCCAAAATGTATCTTCTTCATGGTAGGCCACGAACTCATGAGTATCTTAATCTCTTCCGTGCCAGTATGAAAGTATAAATAAATATCGGAAATGCAAACGTAAATCACATACAGCGACCAAATCCACAGTTTACCGGCCGGGTCCGTTGAATAAAAATGCGGAAAAAAACAAAAGGTACGTATTAGGTGTAAATTACGATACTCTTCTACCCAGGCAGTTGTCAGGGTTGACGTTCACGAATAAAACCAGGGGTCTTAAATAACACTTTTCCTGTGCACGCAAAACAACACAGCCCTAACCAATGAAGGTAGATCAAACAAGCTTTCCTCAGAAAACGCCAGCATTTAAAAGATCAGGCCAGTTTCTTCTTTGTCAAGAGACACGAATAATGCTAACCAAGCACTGACGAAGAAGAATTGCAGTCGACTGAAATCTATTTCATCGTCAGAACCACCTGAGAACCACCTGTTACCAGTCTCAGGGCCAAACATCTCGACGATACCGAGAGAATCGCCTGACAGA